GCAGCGTGAAGAACTCTCCATGTGCTGTGCTCCAGATGGTCACAAACCAATGATGGGCCAGCCAGCAGGGCCACTCATGCAAAGGCTTCCATAGGAATAATCCCTTGATAAGGAAACAATCGGTCGCGGGCCGACCCTTCGCACTCATCCCAAATGAGTTTGACAGATTTCTACTTATTTGGAACGCAATATCATTATCTTCCATACTGTGCTCATGTTGTATTGTTTTGTGATGGATCCATTATTTGACAGATGGGTGAAAGGGGAAGGGGATTTGACCAGCTAAATCATTCATTAAAAATAGATGAACAGTGCCAGTATACTTATTCCTAATTGCCTTTTTGGCTCCTCGTTTTCCACACTACCCATTGGTCTTGCTGGTATAGGAAGATGGTGAAAGTGGTATGCAGGCACATGAACACCACTCCAGACTGACTGGGCTTGATCCCTACTATTTAGTGCTGCCCAGCTGGAAGCTACCCCTGAATCTGCCAATTTAATCCACATTTCCTATTTATACTGTAGGGTGGCTACACTTGCAAGTACAGTATACAGTATATATACTGGGACAAGTACAATATGGACTCTGTGTAGTACAAGGGTACAGTATAATGCACATATCCATGTAATCTAGCTCAGTTATTTGTAATCTAGCTCAGACAATTTAAGTACATCTCAAACATGACCACATTTTGTGAAACGTTGCTTCAGAGAGGACATAGATATAAATCCCCTCCTCCAGCTTTGGGAACCTACTGTTCTGTTCCCCTCATTCATATGGATTACTCAGTAGTACAATTAGGTGTTAATCTGTTTCAATTAAAGGCCCAGTGCGGTCAAAAATATCTATATACACTATCGTTCAGTTTGGGGTCACTTAGAAATGTCCTTGTTTTCAAAAGAAAAGCAATGTTTTTGTCCATTAAAATAACATCAAATTGATCAGAAATACAGTGTAGACATTGTTAATGTTGTAAATGGCTATTGTAGCTGGAAACGGCTGATTTTTTATGGAATATCTACATAGGCGCACAGAGGCCCATTATCAGCAACCATCAGTCCTGTGTTCCAATGGCACGGTGTGTTTGCTAATCCAAGTTTATCATTTTAAAAGGCTAATTGATCAGTAGAAAAACCTTTTGCAATTATGTTAGCACAGCTGAAAACTGTTGTGCTGATTAAAGAAGCAACTTATCCAGAACGCTGCAGCCCGTCTGGTGTTCAACCTTCCCAAGTTCTCTCATGTCACCCCGCTCCTCCGCACACTCCACTGGCTTCCAGTTGAGGCTCGCATCTACTACAAGACCATGGTGCTTGCCTATGGAGCTGTGAGGGGAACGGCACCTCCTTACCTTCAGGCTCTGATCAGACCCTACACCCAAACGAGGGCACTACGTTCATCCACCTCTGGCCTGCTAGCTCCCCTACCTCTACGGAAGCCCAGTTCCCACTCAGCCCAGTCAAAGCTATTCGCTGCTCTGGCACCCCAATGGTGGAACAAGCTCCCCCACGATGCCAGAACAGCAGAGTCACTGACCACCTTCCGGAGACACTTGAAACCCTACCTCTTTAAGGAATACCTGGAATAGTATAAAGTAATCCTTCTTCCCCCACCCAGCATAAAAAATGAAAAATGAAAAAAAGGGGGTTGTCCCACTGGCTATCATAAGTTGAATGCACCAATTTGTAAGTCGCTCTGGATAAGAGCGTCTGCTAAATGATGTAAATGTAATAAAACTGGCCTTCTTGGGATAAGTTGAGTATCTGGAGCATCAGCAATTGTGGGTTCGATTACAGGCTCAAAATGGCCAGAAACAAATAACTTTCTTCTGAAACTCGTCAGTCTATTCTTGTTCTGAGAAATTAAAGCTATTCCATGCGAGAAATTGCAAAGAAACTGAAGATCTCGTACAACGCTGTGTACTACTCCCTTCACAGAACAGCGCAAACTGTCTCTAACCAGAATAGAAAGAGGAGTGGGAGGCCCCGGTGCACAACTGAGCAAGAGGACAAATACATTAGTGTCTAGTTTGAGAAACAGATGCCTCACAGGTCCTCAACTTAAATAGTACCCGCAAAACACCAGTCTCAACGTCAACAGTGAAGAGGCGACTCCAAGTCAAATCCTAGGCAGAGTTGCAAAGAAAAAGCCATATATTTCCACACTATGAGGTTGGAATAATACTGTGAAATTGTGAAAATGATGATACTGCCCTTTTAGTGTAAGAGCTGTTTGAAAAGACTGCCTGAAATTTCAGCCTGTTTTGGTGGTAGGGAGTTTTGGCCTTCCATGGTGACATCACCATACAGTAAATTAGTTTAAAGACCAATAAGGAAGAGAGTTCCAAACCTCTCTCAGTTTTCCCCACTCAGACCACTCCTAGACAGTCCTAGCAAAATTATTGCTTGAGAAATTGCTCTTTGCTAAAAAGCTACTTTTTTTCTCTTTTTGACCATTTTAATTGAAAACTATCACAGTAAGGTACTTAGTTGTTACCCAGAAATAATTTGATATTGAGATAAAAACGGCTGCATTGGGCCTTATAGAGGAGCACTATTCTGACAGATCTTCAGATACAGCTGTTTTCTCCAGTACAGAACTGTACTGTACTTGCCTTTGAAGGCTGTTTGTCTTTAAAGGCAGGCTTGTCTGTTGTAGCTGTATATGTAATGGAGTATGTATGGTTTACTTCATCCTATAGGCATGGAATGGGGTCTTTTGGGCTGTGTGGTGTGATATGTGCTGCTGACCGCTGACAGCAGGTTCTGTGTGTTTGGCGTCTGATGCGAGGATGCCACCATCGTGGGCTGGAAGAGTTGTATGTAATCCAGAGTCCCTAATCCTGGGATTATTGGGATTGCAGCTGGCATTGCATTACCAGGCATTCCTTCTGGGGTAACTACCCTTCCCCCACACTCTCATCCTTACTGCGGCTGTTCTGTTGGCGTTGGGGGCTTGCACTGGGTTGGGCTGGGCTGGGGAAGGGACTCAAAATTTTGTCAGAATTTAGTCCATTTCACAGTCCTCACAGTCACGGTCAGTCTAAAGACATTCCATTGGAGTTCAGTTCACACATACAGTGCATTCAGAAAGTATTCAGACCCCTTAACTTTTTCCACATTTTGTTACGTTACAGCCTTATTCTAAAATTGATACAATTATTTTTTCCCCTCATCATTCTACACACAATACCCCATAATGTCAAAGCGAAAACCAGTTTTTTATTTATTGACATACGTATTCAGAGCCTTTGCTATGAGACTCGAAATTGAGCTCAGGTGCATCCTGCTTCCATTGATCATCCTTGAGATGTTTCTACAACTTGATTGGAGTCCACCTGTGTTAAATGCAATTGATTGGACATGATTTGGAAAGGCACACACCTGTCAAAATAAGGTCCCACAGTTAACAGTGCATATCAGAGCAAAAACCAAGCCATGAGGTCGAAGAACACAGTGGCCTCCATCGTTCTTAAATGGAAGAAGTTTGGAACCACCAAGACTCTTCCTAGAGCTGGCCGCCCGGCCAAACTGAGCAATCGGGGAAGAAGGGCCTTGGTCAGGGAGGTGAAGGAGATGATAGGATGCCAGTTGTGATAATGTAAGAGGCCCAAAGCTTTTCAAGTGAAGATAACATCTTCACAGCAGCATGGCTTTGGACTAAATTCAACTGTACAATACATTCAGTCTTAAAATCCAGATATTGCATAGGTTACTCATGCTGAAATGTAATCATTATACTGTAATCCACTGTGTCTTTCATCTGTGTCTCCTTCAGGAACCCTGATTAATGTACAGAGCCTCTATTTAATCTCACACTGTAGATATATAATCATGGAATCCTCTCAGCAAATCTAATTCTCTAGTTTTAACCATATTTGCTTTATGGCAGTGCAAATGCCGTCAGACTGAATTTGGCATCGGCAAGTTTGGCAACTAGTGTACAGTGAGGGAAAAAAGTATTTGATCCCCTGCTGATTTTGTACGTTTGCCCACTGTCAAAGAAATTATCAGTCTATAATTTTAACTCGCCGTGTTTGGAGGAGGAGGAATGCTGCCTATGACCCCAAGAACACCATCCCCACCGTCAAACATGGAGGTGGAAACATTATGCTTTGTGGGTGTTTTTCTGCTAAGGGGACAGGACAACTTCACCGCATCGAAGGGACGATGGACTGGGCCATGTACCGTCAAATCTTGGGTGAGAACCTCCTTCCCTCAGCCAGGGCATTGAAAATGGGTCGTGGATGGGTATTCCAGCATGACAACACACGGCCAAGGCAACAAAGGAGTGGTTCAAGAAGAAGCACATTAAGGACCTGGAGTGGCCTAGCCAGTCTCCAGACCTTAATCCCATAGAAAATCTGTGGAGGGAGCTGAAGATTCGAGTTGCCAAACGTCAGCCTCGAAACCTAATGACTTGGAGAAGATCTGCAAAGAGGAGTGGGACAAAATCCCTCCTGAGATGTGTGCAAACCTGGTGGCCAACTACAAGAAACGTCTGACCTCTGTGATTGCCAACAAGGGTTTTGCCACCAAGTATTAAGTCATGTTTTGCAGAGGGGTCAAATACTTATTTCCCTCATTAAAATGCAAATCAATTTATAACATTTTTGACATGCGTTTTTCTGGATTTTTTGTTGTTATTCTGTCTCTCACTGTTCAAATAAACCTACCATTAAAATTATAGACTGATCATGTCTTTGTAAGTGGGCAAACGTACAAAATCAGCAGGGGATCAAATACTTTTTTCCCTCAATGTATGTTTTGGACAGTAAAACAATACAAATGTATTCAAATACATTTTCCTGCTGAGACAACCAAATATTTATGATAATGACTGTTGATTGATTCCTACACTGAGCCCGAGGGCTATAGATTTATGCCCCTTTGAACACATCCAACCTAGGTATATTACTGGGTGTGTGCTGTGTGTATACTGTGAGTGTAATGTGTGTGTATTGTGAGTCCACTGTACTGTATCTTGTCTCTGTCCAAGGTGCCCGTGGCTGGCAGTGACTGTGTCAATCTACATACCACCATGCAGTGCCATCCTGTTCTTCCTTGTCTTGGCCAACTTCACCATGGCAACCTTTATGGATGCAGGCGTTCTCCCAATGGGTGAATAACTACTATACAATACACTAGTCTATTCACTACTATAATTTACAGTTGGTGGGCATGTAATTGTTCAACTGTATTGAATTATTGTCTACTAGTTATAACATACTAGCTAGTGCATTGGATTTATTCTTGAATAGATTGATAAACTATGCCAGATTTATGTTAGTAATGATAACATTCTGTCTGAGAAGGAATTTGAAGAGATACATTGACATACCCCACGCCCAGTGTTGTGCCATTGGCCCATAGTTCATGTTGAGCTGTGTGTTTGTGTTTCAGCTAATGAGGACGAGGACAAGGACGATGACCTCCGCGCTCCTCTCTACAAGAACGTGGACGTGAAGGGTGTCCAGGTCAGGATGAAGTGGTGTGCCTCCTGTCACTTCTACAGACCTCCACGATGCTCCCACTGCAGTGTCTGTGACCACTGTGTAGAGGTGAGAGGGAGGGAGGAGGGGGAGAGGGAGGGAGGGATAGAAAGCGATAAAGGGAGAGAGGGAGGAAAGGAGGAGTGAGACAGAACAACCAAGGGCTGGTGGAGAGGGGGAGGGATGGTAGAGAGGGGGAGGAAGGGGAGGGAGGGTGTGTTGTAGTGGTTGAGGGGGAAGGGAGGGGAGGGATGGTGTGTTGTAGTGGTTGGGGGGGGGGTTGTAGTGGTTGAGGAGGATGGTGGGTCTGAGTAGGGTCAATAGTGTGTGTGTGGCTGTAGGGTAATGTTGGGTAGGGGAGAGAGAATGATGAAGGGATAGAGGGGGAGAGAGAGAGATCACATTAATCAGGTTAATCCCTTTCCCCCAATCCTTTATTGTCCCTGGAGCAGAGAGAGACATTTTAAAAGGTTTGGGACAATATGTGTGTGCAAACTGAGGTATATTAAGCCAGCTCAGTGCATATTAACATTTGTATGATAGTTGACTTCTGATTATAACGTTTTTTCATTGTCCAGGCATTATCAATACCATGTGTATGTGGCTAGCTAGACCACTCCAGAATACTGTTTGTAGTATGTATGCACAATGTTGGACAGAGTCATGTAAAGTAGGCTGCTACAATATGTTGTCATAATTCTCAGAGTGATTGAATGTTTTATCTAATGTTGTATCCCATTGTGTCATAACCGCATGCAGGACTTTGACCACCACTGTCCCTGGGTGAACAACTGTATCGGGAGGCGGAACTACCGCTACTTCTTCCTGTTTCTGCTGTCACTCATGATGCACATGGTGGGCGTGTTCTCCGGTGGCCTGCTCTACATCCTACACCATCAGGAGGACCTGTGGAAGCTGCACTGTACTGTCACGTATCCTTCCTTACACACACTCTGTGTACTGTGTGTGTGTGTGTTCATACAGTATGTGCAGTATGATCATGGTTATTCATTTCTAAAGCTTCCTAAAGAGAGCTGTTGAGTCTCCTTGACTGCAGCGTCCAGCCTGGTGGTGATGAGTGTATCAGGCCTGTTCTTCATTCCTGTCCTGGGCCTCACAGGGTTCCACCTCTATCTGGTGTCTAGGGGCAGAACCACCAATGAACAGGTCAGACAAACCCAGGGCTGTACTTCACTCCATGTAACTCATGTTTTTAAATGACTGGATAAAAGGTTTCTGCACTACATAATGGGGTGATGCTAGGTTGAGTCCTCACTTTAATGATGAAATTGTTGCTTACTTTTTCACAGGTTACTGGGAAGTTTCAAGGAGGGGTCAACCCTTTCACTCGAGGTTGCTGTGGCAACTTGAAGTATCTCATATGCAGTCCCATCTCTCCAAAGTAAGAAACATTTGACGTTTTATGTAAACATCATGTACAGTACAATATTGTCAAGGTCGAGGTAAGGAGTAGACCAAGGCGCAGCGTGATGAACAAACATGATTTTAATTAGTTAAAGCACGAAACAAAACAAGAAACGACTCGTGACGTCCACGGTATCAATGACCGAACACGGAGCAAAAACCCACAACCACAAAGGGAAAACATACAGTTTAAATATGGCTCCCAATCAGAGACAACCAGCCAACAGCTGACACTCGTTGCCTCTGATTGGGAGTCACTCAGGCAAACATAGAATACAACAACCTAGAATGAACACCAACATAGAAATACACACATAGAAATGAACACACCCTGGCTCAACATAATGAGTCCCAGAGCCAGGGTGTGACAGTACCCCCCCCTAAAGGCGCGGACTGCGACCGCGCCTCAACTAAACAAACCAAGGGAGGGCTGGGCGGGCATACCTCCTCGGCGGCGGTTCTGGCTCCGGCCTTGACCACCACCCTCCAATACACCCCCCATAGTACCCCTGGTCCAGTCTGGCCCCGCCGGCTGGAGCAGGACTGGACTTAACAGGAGCGATCCTTACCAGGCTGTCGACTCGCACCCCTGGCTTGGTGCGTGGAGGAGGAACGGGCCTTACCAGGCTGACGACGCGCACCCCTGGCTTGATGCGTGGAGGAGGAACGGGCCTTACCAGGCTGACGACTCGCACCCCTGGCTTGGTGCGTAGAGAAGGAACGGGCCTTACCAGGCTGACTACTTGCACCCCTGGCTTGGTGCGTGGAAGAGGGACGGGCCTTACCAGGCTGACTTCTCGCACCCCTGGCTTAGTGCGAGTGGCAGGAACAGGCCGGACCGGGCTGGCGACGCGCACCGTAGGTTTGGTGCGAGTGGCAGGAACAGGCCGGGTCGGGCTGGCGACGCGCACCGTAGACTTGGTGCGGGTGGCAGGAACAGGCCGGGTCGGGCTGGCGACGCGCACCGTAGACTTGGTGCGGGTGGCAGGAACAGGCCGGACCGGGCTGGCGACGCGCACCGTAGGTTTAGTGCGTGGAGCAGGGACAGGCCGGGCTGGGCTGTCGACGCACACCGTAGGCTTGGTGCGTGGAGCAAGGACAGGCCGGGTCGGGCTGGTGACGCGCACCGTAGACTTGGTGCGGGTGGCAGGAACAGGCCGGACCGGGCTGGCGACGCGCACCGTAGGTTTAGTGCGTGGAGCAGGGACAGGCCGGGCTGGGCTGTCGACGCACACCGTAGGCTTGGTGCGTGGAGCAGGGACAGGCCGGGCTGGGCTGTCGACGCACACCGTAGGCTTGGTGCGTGGAGCAGGGACAGGCCGGACTGGGCTGGCGACGCACACCGTAGGCTTGGTGCGTGGAGCAGGGACAGGCCGGACTGGGCTGGCGACGCACACCGTAGGCTTGGTGCGTGGAGCAGGAACAGGCCGGGCTGGGCTGTCGACGCACACCGTAGGCTTGGTGCGTGGAGCAGGGACAGGCCGGACTGGGCTGGCGACGCACACCGTAGGCTTGGTGCGTGGAGCAGGGACAGGCCGAACCGGGCTGTGGAGACGGATAGGAGGCCTGGAGTGAAGAGCGGCCACCACCCGTCCTGGCTGAATGCCTACCCTCACACACTCTGTGTGAGGCATCCGCACAGGACGTACAGGGCGGTGAACCCCTGGCCTGGTGGCCTTCTGGATCCGCCCCCTTTTCTCCTCCGTCAGCCCCGTCGTCCATGCCGTGTGCCCCCCCCTAAAAATTTTCTGGGGTTGCCTCACGACCGTCCGACGACGACCCTGATCACGCCGTTGCTCCTCTCTCCGTCGCCTCTCCACTGTCTCACTCCATGGCCGGCGATCCATCCCGGCCAGGATTTCCCCCCAAGTCCAGGACCCTTTACCGTCCAATATCTCCTCCCATGTCCAGGCTGCCTGCTCCTGGACACGCTGCTCCTCTTTCGCCAGGGCCTTTCCCGGCGCTTCCTCCCATGTCCACCCCAAGGGCTGCCCCTGGACACGCTGCTTGGTCGTTGCATGGTGGGTTTTTCTGTCAAGGTCGAGGTAAGGAGTAGACCAAGGCGCAGCGTGATGAACAAACATGACTTTAATTAGTTAAAGCACGAAACAAAACAAGAAACGACTCGTGACGTCCACGGTATCAATGACCGAACACGGAGCAAAAACCCACAACCACAAAGGGAAAACATACAGTTTAAATATGGCTCCCAATCAGAGACAACCAGCCAACAGCTGACACTCGTTGCCTCTGATTGGGAGTCACTCAGGCAAACATAGAATACAACAACCTAGAATGAACACCAACATAGAAATACACACATAGAAATGAACACACCCTGGCTCAACATAATGAGTCCCAGAGCCAGGGTGTGACAAATATAATGTAAACTGCTCTTAAATTGGAGCTCATTAACTCATCTGTTTGCTTGGACCATACCAGGTATACAGCGAGGCCCATTAAGAAATCAACAGTTCGCATCATGCCTCCTTTCCTGAGACCAGAGACTGACAGACAGATACCAATTATTAAGGTCAGGGATAACAGCGTCCAGCATCATGATCTCCAAAATAAAGTAAGTCTGTCTACCCCAAATACCCTCAGAAGGGAAGATCCCCTATTCAGAGACACATACAACATCATTATTAAACTTCATCAGCAGATCAGATATAATGAACTGTATTTCCTTCTCTTCTGCACTCAGCGCCCGTCCACTGATGGTATGGATGAGCCAGATATTAAACGTCTGAACACCCCACCACCGCTGCACCCCAAACCAGACCCCAAAGTGCTGAAGAGCCACCTAGCAGCCCTAGAGGGTAGGGTCACATTACTAATCTGACAACCAAGTATACAGTATCTGTATTTATGCACCTCGTATTATAGATGACATGAGGAAACTATCATGAAGAAACTTACATTTTTACATTTTAGTCATTTAGCAGACGCTCTTATCCAGAGCGACTTACAGGAGCAATTAGGGTTAAGTGCCTTGCTCAAGGGCACATCGACAGATTTTTCACCTAGTCGGCTCGGGGATTAGAACCAGCGACCTTTCGGTTACTGGCACAACGCTCTCACCCACTAAGCTACCTGCCGCCCCGTGTGGCCAGTCTGTTAGAGAGCTCTCAAACCACACTTGAAACAGTCCAGAAACCCCACAAACGGTCATCCACTGCTCTCATCACTGCATCCTGGTGGCGACATTATTCCATGAACCATGAAAGGCTTGTGTTAGATGTTAATTCCACATACATTACTGTCTCTCTCTGGACTAGTTCAGTCACACTAAACATTATGGTCATTTATTTCACATTTCTATTAATATGAATCCTCCTTCCGCTGTGTTTCAGTTCCAGAGAGTGGTCTTCATCCCAAACCACTGATTCCTCCCCCTGGGCAGATCCTGCAGCAACTCAGACCAGCACTGCAGTCCCCCTCCAAGGCAACACCCCCCTCACCTATCCAACAGGTCAGTCATATCATTCACAATAATGACATCATTCAGATGTGCATTTCTTGCGCTGTGTTTGGAGCTGTTTCCACAGATCATGGTTGTGTTTTGTGGTTTGAGAGCTCTCTAACAGACTGGCCACATGATTCTGTGTTCTGTTGAGCCCTGGCAGACTGTTGTGGCTGTGTTGTGTTTTGAGAGCTCTCTGACAGTCTGTTATATGTTGTGGTTGTGGTTGTGTCTAGGTGGCTGTGGCACCAGAGCAGCAGGGGGGCAGCAGTAGAGGTCATGACTTGTCATCAGAACCCATCCTGGCCAGAGTGGACCAGCAGCTAGCCTTCCAGTCGGGTCCCATGTCCAGTCTGCACCAGCTCAACTTTCTCACCCTCAACTCCCGCTCCCTCACCCTCAAACACGCCTATCGCCACGGCAACAAGCTGCCGGCCTTGCACTCAGAGGGTCTGATCTCCCACCAGGCGTCTCCGGGCATGTTCCCCCCTCACAACCCCCTGTCCAGCCGCAGCAGCCTCTCCTACGACAACCTGGTGAACCCAGGTGACCCCAACTACCTGCCCCAGCGAGGGGGACCCCCACTTCACTACCACCCCCACTCTGATGGCAGTGTGCTGCAGCGGCCCACTCCACACGTCTACAGCCCCGTGTTCCTGGGGGTCAGCAGACAATCTCCCCAGCCCAGGGACAACTTACCCAGGGACCCCTCTCTACGGGACCTCACCCCTCAGGCCCTCATCTCCCGGGACCTCTCCCCACAGACCTTGATCCATCGGGAGGCCTCTCCGGTCCACTATGATAACCTCTCCAAGTCCATCATGGCCTCCATCCAGGAGCGGCGGGAGATGGAGGCGAAGGACAGGATGCTGCGGATGCAGGCCAGGTCCCAGGCCCTGTATGGCTGCCCAGACATGGGGGTCTACGAAATCCCCAGCAGACGCAGCCTCCCTGCAGACAGCATGCGCCCCCCAGGGTCCCGCGCCCCCACCCCGCCCGCATACGGCTCCAGGGAGTTCATGATGAGCACTGGTATTTTGGGGTACGGGGGTACGAGGTCGCCCCTCTCCAGCGCCTCATCGTCCTCTCTGACCCGAGCCCCCAGGACTTCCAGCTCCCCCCTGCAGAGCAGCAGTAGCCTACAGAGTAAGGGTCGTTCCCCCTCCCCATCTTATCTCCCTCCAGACAGGCAGGCCCTGCCCCCACCCTCCTCCTCCACCCTGCCCCAAACCCCCTCCTCTTCCTCTGCCCCATACGTCCCCCCAAAACGCCCCTCACTCATCTACGCCATGGAGGGCAAGAACTCAGCACCCCTGGCTGTCTCCAAATAGGAAACATTGAGTCTTCCTGAGGGTGTATGCAGCCAGCCAGCCAGCCACACCACTCTGCAGTGTTAGCCTGTATATCCACAACTTCCCAGCAAGGTGTAGTAAGTGTGTCTGTGTGGGAGGGTGTGGGAGTCGAGAGGACATCTATGTGCAGTTCTGGGAATAATTTCTACAGATATTTGCACTTGGTCCTCTTGGTAGACAATGGTGTGTTTTGAATAAAGAGTGAGTGTTAACCAACGCCATATGCAGATATCTGATTCTCGGGACAGTGGCCAATTGGCAGACAGTTGTGCCTCCTCATGTAGTCAAAGGAACCAATAAGCTCAACTAGAACTGAGGAAATGTACAGAAGACTTATCTTTGATTGTTGATATATGTGTTTTGGTATATGTGTTTTGATATATGTGTTTTGATAATACTTTTGAAAAATAATGTTATGTGATGATGATGAGACATTCTATTATTTTGCATCTGTAGAAATCATGCTTTACTAATATTTCGTAATTGTTTTGACAAATAAAAAAGTTACTGTTTTGTTCCTTTTTCTGTATTAGTTGTTGTTCTTGCCACCGGCTTCATGTCCACATCCCAGTTCAACCCCAACCCTAACCCTAGCTTCATATCCACATCCCAGTTCAACCCTAACTCTTGCCTCAACCAGAACCCTAACCCTAGCTTTATATCCACATCCCAGTTCAACCCTAACGCTAGCCTCAAACACAACTCCAACCCTAACCCTAACTCTGGTTTATCTTACTTTTTATCCTACGTTTGTCTTTGTACCTGTAAGGTACTGGAGCTTGGCTCCACCTGGGTCTCCCTTTGACACAAGGTGCAGGAACCCAGCTCAATTCAGCGTTTGTACAGGATAGTACGATGAAATGGCACCCCCTAGTGGACCTATCTGTGAGTAGAATATATAAAAAATCCACAAGAGTATTTGAGTGGGTATAACCTATATGCCCACTCTTTGATAGTAGGCTTGCTGTGCTCAACTAAAGATTTCAGAGAAGTATGTATTGGATATCCTAAACAAATCAAGCCTTCAGTATTGAGTTACTGTAATTCCACTGAGATTGTGTTTTGGACCAGCATTCTGATGCTGTGATATTTCTCTGACTGCCAGTGATGGTTGCCATAGCCACAGAGAGATTGAGGCAGTATTCTAGAATTGCAGGACTGCAGTGAGAAGTACTGAGAACATCATCAACCAGTTACACAGGGGTCATGTGCTCATAATACAAAGGAAAGTGGAATGAACAGCCTTTTTTAACAGTGGACTATCCCTGCTACAATCTTTCCGTTTCTATGGTTCTGCAGTTGGCAGCAGTCTTTTCTCTCATTCCTTTTATCACAGCACTGTGTGGCATCACAGAACATGTGTTTTGTAAATGCATGTGTCTGGGAGTCCCAACCAATGCACTATTATTGACCATTCATCTCTTATTAAGGTTAGAACATCACATAACAAACAGCTCCTGGTCTCACCGATGACTGTCTAGTTTTTCCACTGTTTCCCCCCCCCCTTCATTTTACCCATCAATTTTTGTATATAAAAATTATACTGTTCTTCAGACTTTTGTCCTTTTCTTCTTCTTCTTCTTCTTCTTCTTCTTCTTCTTCTTCTTCTTCTTCTTCTTCTTCTTCTTCTTCTTCTTCTTCTTCTTCTTCTTCTTCTCTTGTGTTCCCCTCTGGATCTCCCCTGATTATGAGATGGTGCTCACTAACACCCTAGTGTGTCTAATCACGAGTGTGAATGAGCTCTTTTGATCTTCACCAAGCTTGTAGGAATCATGATTGACACGTCAACTGTCTGAAGTCTAGCGATGGGATCGCTTTAAAAGCTATTGATCAAATATTAATCTTGGTTTTCCTGCCTCTCTCTCTCTCTCTCTCTCTCTCTCTCTCTCTCTCTCTCTCTCTCTCTCTCTCTCTCTCTCTCTCTCTCTCTCTCTCTCTCTCTCTCTCTCTCTCTCTCTCTCCCCCTCTCCTCTCTGTTTCTGTAGCCTGGGGTAAAATGGTAATGAGGAAGGCTGCTGTGAAAAGGAGGGTTTGTGGTTTGTTGAGTGTGTGAAGTGAAGCAGATTCTGGTGTCAGAGTAGCACACCATCTTACATCATGTTTTGGTGACCAATGGTGGTAAAGTGATATCAGAGGCACACACACACACACACACACACACACACACACACACACACACACACACACACACACACACACACACACATACACACATACACATACACATACACATACACACACACCCTCCTCCTAATTGATATGCCCCATCGATCAGGGTCATCAGTGCCTTGCTGATTGCCAGGTTCAGATTGCCGTGGCGCTGATGTGTTTCATTTCCTCCCTGGGTTGCTTATGATGAAGGGTTTCCTGTGGTGACACTTGACAGGAAGGATCAATATAAATTACAACACTCTGGGTAGTTCAGGTCTCTGGGGGGCCCTGGTTTACATCCATTATTTATCACAATTCAAGGAGACCTATATCTCATGTATTAGCTATTATACAGGTATAGGATCTTAATTTGATCACCCTGTTGCAGGAAATTAAAAACTTCTAGTATATTTGAGGTTTAAAAAGGATTCTGATGTTTGAATTTTTTTATTTGATTTTCCCTTATGAAAAATGTATCAATCCCTGCAAAAATGTCCATTCATTATAATCCACATAACACTTAACATTTTATGTTGCTGCAGGATTATTTTCCTGCTGTAGCAAACTGGCTCAAATTAAAATCATTCATCTGTACAGTAGAACTTTAACATCCCCTGGGCACTTTGTTGGGCTGTCTGCTTTCCTGAAGTTCCTTTTCCAGTTTTTTTGTGGATTATTCTGATTGGCAGGTAACTGTGTCGGTAGTAACTCGAAGACAGATAATCAGGTGCGGTATCATTAGTAGTCGGAGGGGAGAGGCTCTCAAGCTTACTGGCTCCACTCTGGGAAAAGCTCCTTCTTTCAAGTCCTAGATATATTACACTTTGTTATTTTTAAGAGCATGGTCCCTCCATACACCAATGACTAAATACAGAACATTATCCTGTGTTATAGCTCATTGTTGACCTTTGTTGGTATTTCGAGATACGGCTTAATTTCATTGGACTATGCTGCTGCTGAGTCAACAACAAGATCTACCAATTCACTTTAATCTCCTTGGTCACAGCTTATAATTGTGTATTTTAGCTGTCCTTAGATGTTAACTGCTCTGCTCATTAAACTAGCTGTGCTGTGAAGTCCTCCATGTTAATTCTACTAATTAATTAGCCTCGGTCTCATCAGACTTTCACAGAGGTGGGTGGGGGAAGGAGGGTTAGGAGGGTTCAGTAGGGGTCAACGGTATGAACAGGAGACATTGAATGTGTCTCTGTGTGATAGAGAGAATGTGGGAATGAGTGGATGTGGAGGAATGTAATGCTGAGCATGACAGAATGTGTGTCTATTTGAGCGCATGATTACTCTACTGTACTGTACAATGTACATAACATACTGTACGTACAGTATTTCTGTGTGGGATCCCAGATGCATGGACATGCTCTTATGGGTAGGTCATAGGCATGTTGTTTATTACTAGCTTTGCCCCTTGTTCTCGTGTATTATCATCTTTATATGTAGAGGCTGTCGTTCTTAAAGGCCCAGTACAGTCAACAATTAGATTTGCCTGTGTTTTATATATACTTCCAGACTATGAGGTTGGAATAATACTGTGAAATTGTGAAAATGATGATAATGCCCTTTTAGTGTAAGAGCTGTTCGAAAAGACCACCAGAAATATTCAGCCTGTTTTGGTGGGATGGAGTTTTGGCCTGCCTGGTGACATCACCAGGCGGTAAATTAGTTAATAGACCAATAAGAAAGAGAGCTCCAAACCTTCCTGCCAATAACGACTAGTTGTCACTCCCCCCCCCCCCCCCAGCAAAATTCTTCCTTGAGAAATTGCTCTTTGCTAAGAAGCTATTATTGGTTATTTCTTTGACCATATTAATTAAAAACAATCACAGTAAGGTGCTTAATTGTTGCGCAGAAGTTATTTGATATTGAGAGAAAAATGGCTGCATTGGACCTTTAAGCCTCCTATTACTGTAATATTCAAATCAATGGCAAACATATTCTTTCACTATGTCTAGCTTTCTGTTTTGCATTTGCAATTCGCTGAACATGAGTAGGAGCTTACATCACTCTACAGTGTAAGGTATGTTTTCACAGAGCACTATAGGGGGATGATTCGATTTTAGTGTCCTTTTAGATGAGTGGGTTTATATTCAAATGTAATGTTGTATGATTTCATTACATGCAGTATGAAAATAAAAATTATGCACTCACTAACTGTAGGTCGCTCTGGATAAGTGCATCTGCTAAATGACTAAAATGTAAATGTATCGTTTTACTGGAGGCTGTTATCTCAGTATGCGGGGTAGCCTCTCTTTTCCTGCTGCACCCAGAACGTCCTTCCTCTCCTCCTCTCCTCCTCTCCTCCATCCCTCCATCCTTCTCTCCCTCCATCCCTCCCTCGGTCTGTCCTGCACATGGGTGACAGGGCTGGGCTAGTGCAGCCTTCTCCCTGCTCCAGCTGCATCTGTTTGTCAGCCCAGTGGCAACTGTGTGTGTTTCACTGTTTCTCTCTGCTTGGGCGAGAGAGTATACAGAGCATACAGATTTCTGGTCTTTTCAATTATATAATCAGAGTTTATATAGCAGTATTTAGCAGTATTTATTTTGGTTTGATTTAACCACCATCTTGCTACTAACCCAGACATTGGATACAGCTGTTTGTTTCTATGACAGCAGAGAGGGGTGTTTAGTGATGAGGTTGCCTTTTTGTTGTTGATTCAGCATCTCTTTCACGAGGGAAAGTGCAGCATTCATCTGAGCCCAATGTGTGAATGTGTGAATGTGTGAATGTGTGAGAGCGTGTGTGCCAGTGTGTCCGTGTGTGAGTGTGTGTGTGTGTGTGTGTGTGTGTGTGTGTGTGTGTGTGTGTGTGTGTG